TTTTTTTTTATTTTGGTATCAGAGTTAAGTCCTTCAATGAGTTTATCAACAGACTGGTATAATAAACAATCAGTAAATTTCAAGTAAGGTCAATAGAAATTATCCAAACTAAAATATAAAGAGTTCGTGAGAAAAGAGTCATCTGACACCTGAGAGACAATGTCAAGCTGTTTCATATACAAGTAACTCAAGTCCCAGAAGGGGAAAAAAAAAAAGAGCAGTCTTTGATTTGGTGATACATATCTACCCAAACCCTCCAAAGCAAAACAAACACCAAGCAGGATAAACTCAAAGAAAACCACACCTAGGCACCTCATAGTCAAACTTCTAACAAACAGAGGTCGGGGTGGGGTAAGGAGAATGGGGAGTAACCACCTACTGGTTATGGGATTTACTCCGGGTTCATGAAAATGTTATCAAACTCTGTAGAGATGATGGATACACTACTGTGAATCTACTAAATACCATCAAATTGTTTACTTTAAAAACATCACTTTTGCTCTACGCATTTCACTTCAACTTTATTATTTTTTATTTTTTTAAAGATTTTATTTATTTGTCAGAGAGAGAGAGAGAGCACGCACAAGCAGAAGAAGCGGCAGGCAGAGGGAGAAGCAGGTTCCCTGATGCAGGACTCGATCCCAGGACCCCGGATCATGACCTGAGCCGAAGGCAGATGCTTAATGACTGAGCCACCCAGGCATCCTCACCTCAACTTTTTTAAATGAGGGGAAAAGCATGAATATGTATTTCTCAAAACAAGGTATAAAATGGCCCCCAAACATATAATTTCATTCATAACGAGAAATCCAAATGAGAAGTAGGCCAAGATATGCTTCTCCACCCATTAGATTGGCAAAAGTTCAAAAGCTTGGTAGAACAATGTTTGGCAAGGCTGTGAGTAAACAGGCACTTTCATACATTGCTGGCAAGAAGACAAAACACTACAACCCTTAGAGGCATATGTGGAATAACTGGCACAGACCCTAAAGTGGCCCCCACCTACCGGTGTTCATACTTTTTTATAACCCCCTCCCTTTCGTGTGCACAGGGATCTATGACTTGCTTCTAACCAACAGCCACCCCTGTGATATCATCACATTATCAGACTCCACTGAAAGCCTGCCTGCTCTAAAGACTCTCCTTGCCCACTTGATGAAGTAAGCAACCATTTTGGGAAAGCTCACAAGACAAGGAACTGCAACTGGCCTCTACCAAGGCAGTTAACACAAAGCCAGGGCCCTCAGTCCTACAAACACAATAAAATCAATTCTGCCAACATGAGTGAGCTTGGAAGCAGGTATTTCCACAGCCAAGCCTCCAGATGAGAACACAGCCCAGTAGACATCTGGATTGCAACCTTCTAAGATTCTATGCCCAGACTTCTGACCCACAGAAACTGTGAAATAATAAATCTATGCTGTTTTGGGGCGCCTAGGTGGCTCAGTTGGTTAAGCGTCTGCCTTCGGCTGAGGTCATGATCTAAGGGTCCTGGGATCAAGTCCTGCATTGGGCTCCCTGCTCCGCAGGAAGCCTGCTTCTCCTTCTCCCACTCCCTCTGCCTTTGTCCCTCTCTTACTGTGTCTCTCTCTGCCAAATAAATAAAAAATAAAATCTTAAAAAAAATAATCTATGCTGTTTTAAGCAGTTAAATGTGTGGTAATCTGTTGCACACAATACGTTAACTAACACACTTACCACACTACATATGCATTTACCTTTCAGACTCAGCAATCCCATGTCTAAGAATTTACACTAGGGGCGCCCGGGTGGCTCAGTCGGTTAAGCGGCTGCCTTCGGCTCAGGTCATGATCCTGGGGTCCTGGGATCAAGCCCCATGTCCGGCTCCCTGCTCAGCAGAGAGCCTGCTTCTCCCTCTCCCTCTGCCTGCCACTCTGCCCACTTATGCTATCTGTCAAATAAATAAATAAAATCTTAAAAAAAAAACATTTACACTAAAGAGATACTTCCCAAAATACAAAAATACCCATGCATAGTTATTAATTGTAAAATAATTTATAATTGTAAGATACTGCCAACTACTTAAATAACCAAATACAGGAGACTGGCTGAAGTACTCTACAGCTGTAAAAAAGGCTGAGGAGGATCTCCATACACTGATATGTAGCTATTTCTAAGATATTTTGTTAAGTGAAAAAGACTGCAACATAAAATACACAGGCCGCTACATTTTGTGTATGAAACAAAAGGAGGTAATTTAGAAGAAAAACCCTGTATCTGCTTACATAAGAAACAAAAGATAAAACTAAGAAGGATAAACAAGAAGTTAATGATGCTGATCACCTACAGGTGTGGAGGACGGAGAATGCCGGGTTGAGACGGGCTATCAAAGGAACAGGGAAGGGAGTAACGCTTTTTCTAAGTATCACAAGTTAATAACTGATAGCCCACAAACCAAAAAATATAAATCAACAAGGAAGGGGAGTGGGGGCAAGACAGAACCGTAAAAATTGAAAGCAAACAAAAAAAAACCCCCCAATATACTGAATTTCAAATAAAAAACACAACCACACTGAGGATAGGGGGTTGAAGCAAAGCTAATTTGAGTAACTTGTGAAGAATATTTTTGTGAATACCCTTCTTTTAGGGGAAAAAATAATTGCTAGCAAATCCTGAACTCCTGCTGGTAGTTTGTTTTTCATCGTGCCATGGAGGTAGCAATTCTGAAACCATTATGTGACTACTGTAGAACTGAGTGAATGAGTAAATGTACTGACGTTGTCAGAAGCCAGGTTCTCACTGTGGAAGAAGGCAGACAGACAGAACAGGGGAAGCCAAGAGAGAGACCTTTGGGGTTGGACTGGCACTGAAGGGATCAGCATGAACGAATGCTTTCTAGTGTGTGTGTGTGTGTGTGTGTGTGCGCGCGCTCTACTCACTGTAAGGCTCCAAAGCTGTGACATCTTAGCAACAATGAACATGCCTAGTGCCAGATCTTGGTTTCTACATATCACTCCACATTAAAGGAAAGAGGTCCTTGGAAAAAATTCCAATTCCAGGACTAAAGTAGGGAAGATACATGATGGGATTGAAATATCTTATTGTGCCAGAAAATAAGAAAGCACTCAAGAGGAATTGGGCCATGTGAAAGGACACAGAGGCCAACCTGAAGGGACTCCTGCTGGCGAAATCTGAGGCAACAACAACAAGAAAACCAATAGTAATGGATCATAACCCACTGAATAAAACAGGAACCGTAAGTCCTTCGGGTAATAGTTTATAGATACAGTAGAATGCTGACTGATAACTGAAAAGCTAGAAAATCACCATTCCATAACCAGCACAGGACAGACCAGTTCATGCAAGAATCATCGATGGCTGACAATTCTAAGGCAGAGAAAGTCTGAGAAGGAGCAAGATATTAATTGTATGGTCTCAAAGTGTCTCTTAAGAAATTGTTTATTAGTTGCAAGAGGAGAGAGAGTAACTACACAATGGAGAAACTAAGTGACATTCTGAATGGGTCATCAAATTAAAATTGTCAATGATGGGCTAACAGGGGCGCCTGGGTGGCTCAGTTGCTTAAGCGTCTGCCTTCGGCTCAGGTCATGATCTCAGGGTCCTGGGATCGAGCCCCGCACGGGCTCTCTGCTCAGCTGGGAGTCTGCTTCTCCCTCTCTCTCTGCCTGCCACTCCCCCTGCTTGTGCACTCTCTCTTTCCCTCTGACAAATAAATAAATAAAATCTTAAAAAAAAAATGATGGGCTAACAGACACTGTTGAATGTGATATCCTGAGAGGAACAATCAATTACGTATCAATTATGTATTATTTTGAAAAGAGGCATGTAATCCAGATCCAATCATAAAGAAACACCAGATAAGCTCAAACTGAGGGAATATTCCATAAAATAACTTCCTTGTATTCTTCAAAAATGCCAATGTCATGAAAGTCAAAGAAAGGCCAAGGAACTACTCCAGATTAAAGACTAAAATGTTATAATGAAATGTAATGTAATATCTAGGGCTGGATTCTAGACTGGACAGAGAAGGGTTTATAAAGAACATTTTCAGGATAATTTTATAAAACTTGAATACAGACGGTAGATTAGAAAACAGTGTTCTAGGTTAAATTTTCTCAATCTGATAACTGCACTGTGTTTATGTTAAGAGAATACCCTCGTTCTTAAGAAATAAACTCTGAAGTATTAAGAGGTAAAAAAAAATGATATATACAAACTGATCTCTCAAATGGTTTAAATAATAATTGTGCATATATATAGTTTTAGACATAATCATAAAGCAGGGGGAGGAGGGAGGGAAGTACGAATAAGAAATAATAAAATGTAAAACGTTAAGAATTGATTAGGTAGAGCATATATAGCACTATAAAATGCATGCAACTTATCTTGAAGTTATTCTGAAGTTGCTGAGAGTCTCAAAATAACATGTGCACTGGTATTTTCAAAAATACAGTAATTATACTTGCTGCTAGATCTTATTTAATGTGATACAGGATACGGAGCATGTTATAGCACAAATCTGCTTTTTAAATATTTTGATAACTATTCTTCAAAATTGGTTTCTTTGCAATCTTATGCATTTTCTTTTATAAGTGTTATTCTGAAAAGTGGACTGCTTGGGCTTTTCATGGCACAAAAAAGAATCTCTGCTCTCAGCTATAGATCCCATATCTACTTACAAGTTTGTCATAATGAGGAAAATGCAAAGTCTGTAGCTTTTTGCATTGCCATTAGCAAATTATAAAAGAACCCATCATTGATAATGAACAGTCAATCTAACCTTATTAATTTCCAGATGGAGTGATTTCCCGTAACTGCTGGAGCAAAGAGTATTCAAAAATATTAACTGCAACCTCATACAAAGCATCTACGAACACATACAACACCACACACCAACATGTGGAAAAATACAGGCATGCAGCAACTATAAACATGAATCACGACTGTGAAATTTATTACAGAGAAACTTAGTGCTTACGCATCTTAAAGAAACTTGTTAAAAATAAGATACTATTTACCATCTTTCTTTCGGAAAATTTTTTAAAATTTCTTTAATGATTGGTTGGTAGCAGGCTTCCCTCTCTGCTTTCCCAGTCTCACTCCAGTCTCTCACAAACTGTTTCAGTGTAGATTTTAACTTATCCATGTCAAATGTTGATGCTGGCATAATCTTTCCATTCCCCTGTTTAAAAACAGAAATCAATTAGCTTCTGACCAAGGAATCAATCTTGAATAGGGTCAAGGGCACGTGCTACTAAGGGGCTATATGGATGGTTTAGTGGATAAATCACTAGCCTCTCACCTCAACCGGGGTTCAAGTGCAGCTTGAGATCCTACATGAAAAGAATTTGGTGGTCTCACTTCTACCCTCAATAGATTTAAGGTCCATTAATCATGAAACCACCATATAATTAAGCAGTCTTTACTCAGGAGAGGACCAGAACTGAGCTGCTATGGAGACAGGACATCTTCTCTCTCTAAGAGAGGGAAGAAAGTCCCTCCAGGTCATTGATGGGGCAGCATGGAGAGGCTCACCCTGGAGTGGCCCAACTGTATCTATCCTGTGGATACAAAAAGAGGACTTCAGTTTCTATTACTGCCAGTCCCTTGAGATTTATAAGTGAAAATAACTTCTTAAAGTAAAAGATAAATATCAATAGATACAAAATACTGAAAATGAATTTAGCATGAGAAATTAATTTTACACAGCTAGTAAAGTTGGTTATAAAAATTAAAGTCACTAACTCTATATGCTAGAATAGTCAGAACACTATGTGAAACGTACAGCAATATGCCAACAATTATCTTACTATTTTTAGAAAAAAAAAATCTGTCAACAAATCCAGTTTCTAACATACTATTCTATTAAGCCTACTCAAATACCTCAACATAAAAGTGAAAACATTCTGAGTAGAGCAAATGGCCCATGCAAAATATAAAAATGAAATCCAGAAAGATGAAGACCTCAAAATACAGAGGTTAAACCCTAAAATAAAAATAGAACAAACTTTCACATACATCTTCTCCATATTCTTTATTTTCAAACATATGTATGCAATCATTCACAATGGTCAGTAGTATTTCTTGATTATGATCAATGCATTTCCGAATCTTGTCCAAGTGAAGAAGAAACTGAGGAAGTAGTTTCTGTTGATTATCTGGAAGTGATCGAAATTGTCTTTCTGTTCGGTTCACTCGCTCATGCATACTGGTGCTAAAACATAAAAGGTGTTTTTTAAATTGGCAAAAGAATTCTCACCAGGGCCAATCTTATTTTAAGGTTGTCTTTCTGTACAATTATTCCTTTATAATGTTGGGATACTGTCCTGTGATTTACAATCTTTTGGTTTCTTAAAGGATATTATCTTAAAAGTTTTATGTTTTCACCTTATTACAAATTCTCTACGCAACCAAACAAAAGACAAATAGTTTATAACTAGCAAAGTAAATATTTGTACCAGTTAGGAGGGAAAAAGGAAACAAAGAGGATTAATGTACAATTAGTTTATTTTTATGATTTTAATTTCCAAACTTAAAATTTTCATCGAACTAGATGAATACTTTAAATTTCTCCATCAAGTAGCAGAATACTGCTCTGAAGTTACTTTAGAATATACAAAATGTGTTTTGAAATTAACTAAGAACCAACCAAGCTGCATTTTTTTAAAAAACACAAAAGATCTTATGTACTACAAAAGCAGTAAACAGAGGAAAAATTGTAATTCTATAGCATTTTACATGATATTATTCACAATTTGCATTCCAGAAGTTGCCAGATAACTCTAAAGGTCACTCTGGAGATTACCTATTTATAAAACTTGAAAAGAAACAAACAAAAAACTCCATCATTTTCAAAAGCTGATTATTACATTTGCATTGAGTGCTATTTTACATCAATCAGATGGACAAAATCTAAAAGCCTGACTACAGGAAATATGGAAAAAATATTAGGAAATACTGAAAAATATGGGATAACTTGAATATATACACTGATTGATGAGAGGTGCATAAATTAGCACAACCACTTTGGAAAATAATTTAGCATTACCCAGTAAATCTTAATATGCACACTCCCTAGCAATTACAGTCCTAGACACATACTCAAGAAACTTGCAAATGGGCACCATGAAACATAAACTATCTTCTTATTAGCACTGTTATATATAACAAACAAGAAATCTGCAAACAACCTAGTGGTCCATCACCAGTAAAATGAACAAAGTACAGTATAATCATACAATGGAATGCAATTAAATAAACTACAACTATACACAATATGGATAAAACTCATGAATGTAAATATTTGTTGAAAAAAGCAAGTTGCAGAAAAATACAGAATATACAATTCCATCTTATATAAAAATAATATCTTACAGGGACTGAACACATGTAAAAAAAAAAACTACAGAGAAAGGAAATGAAAATTTAAGAAAGTGATTTTTTTGAGGGGAAAGGACTCTTTTTAAACCAGGTGTTAGGTGCATGGGTAGTCACTGTATCGTTCTTTACATTTTATATATACAAACAAGTGTTTGTGTTTCTTCTCAATGTTCTTTGGCATTTACTCCATACTAAATGAAAACGAAAAATGCTTTTTCATTTGGTTGTTTGAATCTTTCTATTCACCCAAATAATTGTCTCCTTTTTATGCCAAATTACTCTCTAATTTCTGGATAGTAATAAAGAAGTTCTGAAGGAGCTCTTGAGTAAAGCAATAACCTGACCAGGTTTTTAGAAGCTTGTGTGTGGTGGTTGTGGTGGTCAGGGGCGGGGCAGGGGGGGTGGGTAGGAGGGTAACGTGAAAAGATTAAGTTGTCAATGGCTACACTGATGTTTGCTTTTGTCTCCCTAGAGACAGTGTAATAGTGAGCTGTGGAGTCAAACAGATCTGGATTGAAATCCAGGTTATGCCACCTATTTGATATGCGACCCTTGGCAAGTTACTTCCTTTCTCTGTGCCCCCACTATCTCACATACAAAACAAGGTAATACATAACTACAGTGATGATGATGATGATGATGATGATTACAGAAGCTATCACTGAGATTTAATAAAAGCCAGGCCCTACACCAAGTCACTGACGTGGATTACTTTGAAACATCTCCATAAAACCCCACAAGGTTAGGTACCATTATATTCCTCTGCCAACCCAATGGGATTTCACTGAAAATGTAACAAAATAATGCACACAAATCACTTAGCCCAGGGCCTGAAACATAACTCCAACATGGTAGGAATACCTAATTTATATAACTAATATGTTCACAGTGAAAATACAAAAAAATGTGGAGAAGTAAAAGTACTCCAGCAAAAAAAGCTACTAATAGTCCCTCTTCTAAAGGCAATCACTTCTAACTTTTTGGCATATTTCTCCTTGTTGTTGTTGAAGTGCCTCTCCGGTCAAAACGTGATACACAGAACAGCACACCATTTGGAGGTAACTAGAAATGAAGAATCTCACACCCCACCTAAGACCTACTGAAATGTAACGTGCCTTTTAACAAGATCTCAAAATGATTCACATGTACGTCAACTTTTTAGAAGCTCTTGTAATTCTTCATCTTTATCAAAGAATTTTCCCAGATTAGAAAAAACTTCTCTAATTTATAGGGCAAATGACTGTAATGACTTTTCATTATGCCATCTATGCACCAAAATTTACTCAGTTATTTCTCAAACGCTGGGCATCTAGATACTTTCACTTGTCTATATGATAAACCTTCTGTGTTCTAAATCTGTCTGTATTTTAGGGAAAAAAAATACTACCAACTCCCAAAAGAAGAATTACCAAGTCAGAAAGGATTAAGTACTGGGGTGCCTGGGTGGCTCAGTTGGTTAAACATCTGACTCTTGGTTTCGGTTCAGGTCATGCTCTGATGGGTTGTGGGACTGAGCCCTAAGTGGGCTCGGTGCCCAGTGGGGAGTCTGCTTCTCTCCCTTTCCTCTTCCCCTGCCCCTCCCCTGGCTAACTCTAAAATAAATAAATCTTAAAAAAAAAAAAAAGGGTATTTTTAAGCTTCTTGATACAAACTGATTTTCAGAAGAATTGTATCAATTTACATTCCTATAAAATAGAGTAGAACACTAAAGGAACTATTTAAGGTGACCATAATGTGTTAGGCAAACAGCAGAGTTGTGAAGGGTTACAACTCAGAGTCAACTGGTTAAATAGTCTCACAGTACTTCATTTCTACTATTCTTGGGCACTGGATGCCCCACAACCTCCCTCTCAGCATACCTCAAAATTCAACATATCCAAACTGAACTTAGCACATGATCACCACCACCCCCCCCGAAAAAAACCCTGCACTTCTTCCTATATGGCTGACACTGATGAATGGTATGCCATACATCCATTGAAGTCAGAAACAAATGAGTCATCCTAAAATGCCTCTTCTCACAGACCCCACAACCACAAGCTCCAGATCCTTTTGATTCTACTTCATAAACTCTCTGCAAATCACTACCTCTCCCAGGCCCTCATTAGGTCTCTCAAAGATCCCTAAGAGGCCTGCTCCCTAGGAATGTTGTCCCCAGATGAAGTCTGCCACTCCCAATGAATTCTTCTGAAATACAAGTCTTGTGTTTGTCCTAACTGAATCTCCAGATTTCAGCCTATGCAAATAACAATCAATAAATGTTCAGTTATATACCCCCTAGGTGCCATTTTTCATTCTCCATGAGGACTACTTAACTTCCATGATTGCCGGGTAGTTGAGGTAAGTTATGGATTGGTCAGAAGAGCCCACACATATTTGTTGTCAATTACTGATACAGAAGTGATGTAACTACACAGAACAGGACGAGTCGCTGCATATCTGTTAACCCTTGATTTTTTTAATGGTCTGCAAAACTGTCCATAACGTACATCCACAGTGAGTCTCCCGAAATAAGTGAGATCTTACTGAAGCTGACATAAGAGTCCAATCTTTACTATTTTAAATGGGGCTAACTTCTCTATTCTGGAAATGCTTATACTACCAATGTACTTTAAGGCAGGGGTGGGCACACTATGACCCCCTGGCTGCTAGGTCTATTTTATAAAGACTTTTACTGAAACAAAGCCATATCCATTTGTTCACATACTGCCTATGGTTGCTTCCACACAGGAGCAGAGTTGAATAGTTGTAACGAGACTACCTAGCTCTCTGACCTTAAAATATTCATTGCCTGGCCCTTTAAAGAGTTTCCCAAAGCTGCTTTATTTAAAGGAATGTTTAACAAGCTTCAGACTCTCCGTGGTTCTACTCGGTCAGCAGCAAGAGCTTATCCTCTGGTGACTAAGGGGAGAAAATAGAGTGACCAGCCATATTTCATGGGTATCTACCTTCAGCTCTCTCCAGAAGGGTGGTCTTGGCAGTGACCCCAACTCTTAGTCTCCTTTCATCAGGGTGGGTCTGATACTGGGTCTGAGCCAAGGACCAAGGTCATAGACCCATTCCTCTGAACCTGTTGAACTACTCTAGTATTCCAAACAGGAAAGCGTATCTTTTCAGAAGGAAAATCTGTCTCAATCCACTTAAAAAATTTATTAAAACACAAAGTTAAAATTGTCTTACTAATATCACTATTTACTAATGCACCGAACCATCTTGGATTTCAGACCAGACTCTACCACAATTTGGTTGTGTAAGCCTGGGCAAGCTGTTCACCTCTTTATATGCCTATTCCTTCACCTGTACAAAAGAACTCTACATCTCAATTTTTTAAATCTTACCTAACTGCTACTTCTAAAAGTAGGATGTTTCTGACAAGACCTTTAATTTTTCAACTGTAGTATCTTCTAATGTGAGTATCTTCATTCATAATAAGATTGGTATTTTAAGGATAACAACGTTTTGTTTTTGTTTTGTTTTTTACTATTCGCTACAATGCTACAATCATTTTTGCCTTAATCAAAATATTTCATCTAAGCAAAACCCATAGGAAACAAAAAATTAGAAGCCACTGGAAAAATATTAAGACATTTCTTGCCCTGTGACCGTTAATCTAAATCCCCTATAAAATGACTAAAAGACATTTAGCAGTGAAACTAAGCTCTCCAAAATTTAGAAGTATTTGCTAAAGATTTACAATAGGATTGTGTATCCGAACTCACGGCAGTGATGGAAAGACTTACATCTGCATTGTCCAATATAGCAGACACCAGCCACATGTGGCCATTGAGCACTTCAAATGTGGCTAGTGAGACTGAGGAAATGAACTTTAAATTTTATTAAATTTTAATTAAGTTTAAATTTAGCCAGATGTGATTAGTGACTACGGTATTGAACAGCAGAGGTCTAGATCATAAAATGTCGGAATGGAACAACCCAGTGTGTTTTCTGCTACAAAATGCTTTCCATACCCCTAGTCCTTCCAGTGATGTTTTTAAAAGCATATTTTGAATACTATTTTCAGTCTATTGGAAGCATTTCGTCAAGAGTACATGCAAATAAAAAGGATTGTTTTTAAAAAATGAAATTATCCTCAATCCCACATTAAACTGCTAAAGAGGGATTAGGGTATAGGAAACTAGATCATAACCATTAGAATATGCACACAAGCACTCTTTTCTACACTGCCACACTCGAGCCCTACTTCCACGTCAGAGGTCCCTGGCTGCCCACAAAAAGGCCCATTTGATAACCAATTTTAAATTAGTCTTAATATCTTAGAACCAGCACAGACACACATTTTAACTAACTGGGTCCATTATCTTTCCAGGACACAGTCCAGTATCCTTTTCTAGATTTTTCTAGAAGTACCAGACTTTTCTGTACCTACCTCTCCTAGCTATCTAAATCTAGGGTTAGTTGTTTCTCCTCCCTGTGTGATTCTTTCATACACAATACTTGCAACAAATTCAATTCTGTGGTTGTCTGCCTTCCTCCCTCTGTTGATACTAAATAAAATCCCCACACTTAGTTAATTCCCTTTTGGGCTCCATAGGTAATGCAGTCCAGTTCCTATGCCTGGGTTTAATCAGTAGATTATTTCATCAAGATCTTTGCACTTAAAAGCTCATGTTACAGAAAGGCCATCAGATTCTAAATAACTTTAGGCTTTTACTAAGCAAGTTTACAAATTCTAAATAGTAACAATCTACCGACTTGTGACAAATTCACATGCTATCTGGGAAGGACAAACGTATTTCTTTGCTACTACTTGTCTTATTTGTTAAAAATAGAGCTTCAACAACATATGCCAAGCACTGGTGACACAAAAATAAATAAGGCTTAGTCCCTGCCCTTGAAGAGGTCACAGTCAAGCAATTAAAAAAAAAGTTTGCATAAATCACAGCAGGAGCCCATCTAAGGGCACAGTTTTACGTGGGCAGGTCCTGTCTTTCCCATTCCAACCGCAGACTCAGAGCACAGCCGTCGGTGGACTCCACTCTTACACAAATAAAAGTGCTCTGTTTACCTGAAAAGCTAAGTCCCTTTCAGGTCTTGGAATTCTAATTTTGTGACTACGGTATTTTAACATCTATCTAGAAAGAAAAAAAGTGGAAGTTAGGGAGTTTAAAAGTCCTACCACCGTACCCAGCCCACAGTGAGAATTCGATACATATTTGCAGAATAAAAGATCATAAAAGCGATTCTTTACTGTGCCTTCTCTCGTTTCCCTCTTTAATAATTTAGCAAATTTTAGAACATCCGGACCACCTCCGACCTTAATTTCACCCACCAGTTAAAGACATTGAGCGCCATCATTCACCACTAATGTGCCTGTACGTTCAAAGCGCCAAGGGGGCTGGGGTGGAAATCTTATGCAGCTCTCACAAGAACTGGCAACAGTTTGGGAAAATTCGTCCTACGGCATCCCACGTGTAGGTGAACTTGGGTTCTCCGTGTGTTCAGTTTGGAGGACATCGACAACACATACAGATCATGCCCAGCACTGACGATTTTACCACCATCATCTTCTATCTGCAATTGTTAACAGCACTTTTCCGGTCACCCCCACCGGCCTCCAAGCCAAACCTTTAACGAGGGATGGAAGGCAAGAGAGCTAATCTGATCCTGAGGTTAGAAGACACGAGGCTGAGCAGCAGACGGCGCGGCAGACACGCGGCTGTGCAGGGTCGGGAGGGGCTAAGGTGGTACGAGGTGACTCAGGGGCCCGGAGGTCAGATCTGGCGGCCCGGTTCGGGCGCCCCGGAGGCGTGGCGGCCGAGGGCGAGCGCGGCGGGCGCCCCCGTTCCGGCGGGTCCGCCGCGACCGGCAGGCACCTCGATGGGCTGCGCCGGGGTCCGCCACGGGCTTCTTACCCGTAGTAGCGGAAGGCATTAATGATCTTCCAGAAGTGCTCGCGCTCGAGCCGCTCCTCCTCCTCCTCCGTGCTGCGCGCGGCCGTCGCCGCCGCCGAAACCGCCGCGGCCGAGGCCAAACGCCCGGCGGAGAACTGCACTTCCACCTCCTCGCTCCCGCCGCGGCCGCCGCCGCCTCCCCCGCAGCCCTCGGGCAGCTGAGAAGCTGGCGGCGGAGGGCGCCGCCGTCGCTGCATCGCCGCCGCGGCCCTAGGCCTGGCTCGCTTGCGTCTCGCCGCGACTGAGAGCGTGGTGGCGGCTGCTCGGCCTTCCTCTAGACGGCGCCCGCCGCGGACATGCCCCCAGCTCGCGGTGCGCTCCGCCCCCGCCGCCCTCAGGCCTCCATCCGCGCCGGGCTCCGCCAGGTCTTCAGGAGCGCCCGGCACGAGCGCGCATGCGCCTGCGAGGGTACGACGGAGGGCCGCCGCCGCCTGCGCTCATTTGCTGCCGGCCTTCGGCGACGGCGCGCTGCCGTAAGGACGACGCGCCCAATGGGCGGGGCGAAGGGTCAGGTGGGAGGAGCGAAGGAGGAGATCCCTCGTGGGGTGGGGCTGGCACCTGCGAGAAGCCGCGTGGGCTGGGTTTAAGAGCCTGCGAGTGCTGGATTGTGGAACAGGCAGTTGAACTAAGTCTAAAGAAGGGAAAAGCAGAAAAAAAGTTCAGCTTTGATGAACTTATTAGGAATTTTTATTTAAGAAAATCGAGAGGGAAGGTCTTGCATTCACCCCGATTTAAGCTTTATTTTCTAAATGTATTTCCATTTTTAATTACATAGGGAGGAGAGTCACCATCATCTTTTCAGTGTTCAGGGGTTTGCGAAAATCCTAATCCCGCCCCAACTGGTGATGGCAGCAGATGAAGAAGATGTTAAAACCAAACTCTCTCTAGTATCCGCGCTTTGGAAGACCACCAAAATGCACAGGAGCTGTAATGCCTCAGCATTGGCGCTAGTTGCATCTAATGGTGGCCCTTAGCAATGCCAGACTTCTTCCTCTTCTTCACCTACATACACTTTCTGCCTCATTTGTCTCTGAGCTCATAGTTAAAACAGGTGCCTCACCCACATTTATTATTATTCTTAGGAAATAACTCATTTTATTCAATTTTATGTACCACTCTGCATATCAGTCTTACTAAAAGATTGCTTTATTCGGAAGAATTAAACATTCCCAGGAAGCAAAGATTCTGTAAAAACATATAAACATACTGAAAAGGAACTAGCTTCATATTTTCATAATTTAAATTAATAATTTAAAGGCAATGCTTTAAAAGTGGTTATTCTATGTTAATGTTCCATTTTTATACAAGATTTTTATAAAATTTTAAGTCTTTTTTAAAACAGTAATGCAGTAATACATGGTCCAAAATTCAAAAGGAAAGTACAAAAGGTTAAAAATGTGAAGTTTCTTTACCCTTCTCCCTAGGCAGCCTTATCCCCTACACAGACACAAAATATCAATTTCTTGCCCACTCTTCCACATTTTATATCCAGTGCAGATTTTTCTTAGAGACCACTGTTTGTAAATTATGCATATATTCTCATGTTATTAACTGTTACCAATACTGTTGGTAAATGCACACACCAATACACAAATTATATATATAATAATTTTGATGCACTGATATAGTTCTGGATGACCTAATTGATATAGGCCAGAATGCCATGGATAATTATAATCAGCAACATACTTTTTATCATCCTGGGAAGTATAATAAACATTTTTTTTTGAGAGAGAGAGAAAGAGAGCGGGGGTGGTGGAGAAGAGGCAGGGGGAGAGAAAGAATCCCAAGTAGGCTCCACAATCAGAGCAGAACCTGACTCTGGGCTAGATCTCAGGACCCTGAGATCAGGCCCCCAGTCAGATGGTTAAATGAGCCACCCAGGTGCCCCCAAATTTTCAAATTAATTTCTTATGGAGAGGCTTTTTTGGTTCTGTCTCATTAGTTGGTGAGAATCTTAGGGTCCGTGTCATTAAGGTGCTCAACCTTAATCTCAATTATGATTTCACAGATGAGGAAACTAGGGAAACAGCAATTAAGTGATCCACGGGACACAGTACATTACTGGCACTACGCTTACCTACCCAAGTCCCCTGCCTGTATTTTACCCGTATTTGGCTATAACACTGACTGAATATTATGCTAACATTTGTTTAACATTTTACATTTTCCGAATTGTTTTTTTCCTATTGTATCACCTTATTTGTTCATGACTCTGAAGGAGGTGTTATTATCATTTTCCTTTAACAAATGAAGACACAGTCTCAGAGAAATTAATAGTCTTGCCATGGGGTACATAAATAGCAGAGCTGACATTTATCTATTCATTCATTCCTTTCAACAAATGTGCTGATTGCCTGCTATGTTTCTGGCACTGAGCTAAAGGCAGCTAGAAGTTGGGTTTTTTATTCTCACTTTGCCATTTGGTAACTGTGACTGTTTCAAATGTTATTTGAGACTTCGATTACATTATTTAAAAAAAAGATTTTATTTATTTGAGACAGAGCAAGCACACCACTAGGGGGATGGGCAGTGGGAGAGGGAGAAGCAGACTCCCCACTGAGCAGGGAGCCTGATGTGGGGCTCAATCCCAGGACCCCAAGATCATGACCTGAGCCAAAGTCAGATGCTTAACCCACTGAGCCACCCAGGTGCCCCTTGATTACATTATTTCTAAAATGGACATATAACCCTTCTTACAGGATCATCAGGAGGAATAAACGAGATAAAGAATGGGAAATGCCTGGTATATCTGCTCATTAAATGTTGGTTTTCTCTCTTCCTTTCAGGTGTCTTTAAGATAAATTTTTGGCCTTGTTTTAAAACACTTTTAGGACTTCCTTGACCTAACTTCTTTGCAATGAGTTTCTCCTATAGAAATCTTCCCAAACCATGGGGTCATTTGGGCTGAAACATTTTCATCAGAAAGAGGTCAATTAATCTCTAGGAATTAATAACCAAAAACCATCATTCTTTCTTCGGTTATTTTGAAAAACTGTTAGTTAAGCAGTTACAGCTCACACACATATATTGCCGATGGAAATGTGAGATGGGACAGCCACTGTGGAAAAAAGTATAGCAGTTTCTTACACCCAGTAATTGCACTCTTGGACATTTATCCCAGAGAAATGAAAAAAATGTGTTCACACAAAAACCTAATTTACATGAAAATTCATGGTCACTTTATTTGTAAAGGCCAAAAATTAGTAACAACCCAAATGTCCTTTAGCAGATGAATGGTTAAACAAACTGGGGCATAACCATACCATGGGATACTTACTTGATAATAAGAAAGGGAATGATTTATTTTTATACTTAATAACTTAAATGAATCTCAAAAGAATTATGGTTGATGGGGAACAAATTTCAAAGGGTTACAGATACTGTATGATTCCATTTATATATTTTGTGTTGAAATGACAAAATTATAGAGAACAGGTTAATGGCTGCCAGAGTTTGGGGGTGGTAGGGAAGAAGGGTTGTGTCTGTGGCTATAAAAGGTAGTACAAGAGAATCTTGTCATGGAACTGTATCTTGACTATGGTGGAAGTCACACAAATCTACACTTTCATAAAATTGCATAGAAATTAATATACATGGGGGCGCCTGGGTGGCTCAGTCGTTAAGCATCTGCCTTCGGCTCAGGTCATCATCCCAGGATCCTGGGATCGAGCCCCGCATCGGGCTCCCTGCTCTGCAGGAAGCCTGCTTCTCCCTCTCCCACTCCCCCTGCTTGTGTTCCCTCTCTCGCTGTGTCTCTCTCTGTCAAATAAATAAATAAAATCTTAAAAAAAAGAAATTAATATACATGCCATATATACATAAATGAATACATACCAAACTGATAAATTTGAATAAGATCCATTGATTGTATCAATGGCAACTTCCTGATTGCAATATTGTGCTATAGTTATGTAAGATATTGCCATTGCGGTGAAGGGTATAGGGAATCTGTCTGAATTATTTTTTACAACTGTGTATGAACCTAAAATAATCTCAAAACAAAAGGTCTTTATAATGACACATAAACCTGTGACTTTTTGGGGGGGGAATCACTTTATTCTAATTCACAAATGAGAACATCACAAAAGGTGATTTAAGGAGGCACACAAATATCTGCCCAACCCCAAATTCAAACCATCTCAATGAACTTCCATACAGTAAGAACAACCTTTTTTATTCCAATTCTGAAGAAAGCTGTATTTAATGATGAAGGAGAAGCTTAACTGGTGGTTTTACACTTTATATATTCACCATTCACCATCAATTATATGTTTATGCTAAATTAACTTGGTTATGAGAGATGATTTTCCTTATCTTCAATTTGAACTTCTTGATTAGGCTAATCCATTTGCAAATCTGCACTGTTTCAGCACCTCGCTGAAACCTGCACAAAGCTTCAGGTCACCCTGGTTCTGGGCACACTCCAGAAACTGTTTCATCTCATAGTGGCATGGGCCAAACTGCTGCTGCTCCTGGTATGCTGGCTGGGTTCCCTGAGGCTCCTGGTAAGTGATGTCAGGCCTTGAAGGCTCAGCATTGCCTCCTCCACTGAAGCCCCCAGTGATGGCATGACCTATCGTGTGCCCAACAGCAGAGCCCACAGCCACGCCAGCTGCAGTGGTTGCCACCTGGGCCATGAGCCCTGGCTGCCGGGGCGCAGCAGCAGGTGAGCCAACAGCAGCTGGTGGAGCCGCTGCCGGAGGCTGAGCTGCTGGCGCTGGTCTAGGTGCCGCTCTCATCTGAGGTACCCGGCTGGCCGGAGGGGCCATGCGGGAGGTGCGGCTCTGACTTCCACGCCGCATGGTGACTTGCAGAGCAGCTCAGGGTCTAGAAATCCGAGATTCGGCCGAG